GACCGAGACAAAACCAAGAGAAACAGTGTGGTATACCAACGACTGCAACAAATTCTATGTTGGACGAACCAGTAGGAAGTTATGCACGCGAATAAAGTAACACCACAATGCCGTCAGGAAACGTGATCCCCCATCTCTGGTATTCATATATGAGGGCCAAGAAGGCCACAAATCCAATCTGGAAACGCAGAAAACCGAAATACTTAAAGAGAACCCAACATCGGATTCACAAACAAAAGAAACAAGGGACGCCTTAGAGTCAGATCAATAAAAGTCAAAAGCCGGATCTCGGAAGGGTTGAGAACAGAGGTCACTCCAACGTTGAACAGAGTACGAGAGCAGGGGATGCCAAGCTCAGGGGTCATACAGGCATCGACGAGCCAGGACCCAAGATAACAGAGCGAATGATGGAGCCGTCCGACAGAACAGCTAACCGTGATCGAAGTTCAGTCCCGACCAGGAGCACGTATATTAACACATACGCAACACCACTCAGCGTACAATCACCAACCCATTGCTACTCACCACTACGTCTTCAAACAAAGCACTGATGAAATGATCTCGATTGGTATTCAAACGTTTGCAATCAACTTGCCCAGCTCAGCGAATAAACCAACGACCACGGGCCTGTTCCGTTTTAGTCATCATGGTGAATTGACTTTGATGGACCGTTCGCCTAGGTTGGTAGGATGACATTGTATCGTCGACGTATCTCAGTCAGATTGCTGAAAACTGGATGAAACGAGTAATGCACTGGAATGTGGGTAGCTCGAGTGGCAACCAATTACCAGTATCGGTCCGCATAACCTTCAGACGCACACTGACAATGTCTGCTAGACTGACAGCAAAACCTTTGCATTCCATTTGCTAAGCTCAGCAAGCAAATGATAAAATAACTAGTTGAAACTTTTCAGGATTTATTTAGACCGTAGTTGATACTGGCAGGCTTATCAGAACACCGTCAGACTACCCCGAAAATCCAAGTAGAACAAGCAAGTTTCATACTTTGGCAAAGATCGGGAACTTAGTAGAAGTATGATAGTCTCTCAGCAGTCAGTGCTTTGACGTAGACGAGATGACATCCGAAATGACCACAATTCATCTTGTCTGAGACTAGTTGTAGGAATCGGAGTAATCATCATCAGGCGGAAGCCTTCTGCCAGTTTTCACATGCCGCACGTAATGAACTACATTCTTGATCGATGGGGACATACGTTTTATGTAGACAAAAGTGCACAATAAATGCTCACCCCCACTGATAACATGAAGTTGGTTGCCTCAATTTATTGGTTCACTGAGGGAATTTTGCAGCGGTGTTAGGCCGAGCACTCAAAATTTCGTTCTAGAGGCATAGCAAAGCCTGTCCATTATATACTTAAATCGACCACTCCAGCCCTGACTGTTGTACGCGCAACCTAACTGACCGTTACCCCTTGAAGCCACATCACATAAACGAAGTAAACCAAATCAGTGTAGCGATCTACTTGTTGTTCGCGCGCGGAAGAATTTGATTTGGTGTTGAGCCTATTCCGTGGGGCTGGCGTACACACACACAGACTGACAGAAACATACTGGTAGTAGAGATAGAGTCAACTGATGCTCATCTTTCACAGAGCAAGGATTCGCGAAGGAAAAGCTTGAAACTCGAAACACTTGGAAGATAACAGACAGGCACAAGTGCTTCAGTAATCAACAGTGAAGCGAGTTAAAATGGCTAGATGTTCGGGCCCAACACTCTGAGGATCACTGAATGCAGTTTTCTTTCTCGATAAAGTAAATGGAGGATTTCGGTCCCAGACAAAAATATACATGCATATTGACCTGAAGTGAAAAAGCACACTGAGGCAGCATGAGGAAGCATCTGACTAAGTGTATGTTTCAGTGCCCGTGATTTTTAAAATTAGGGCTGGGCTGGGATGATAGGGTCACAGGAGGCTGTTGGTGAAGTAAACAAATGAATGAACTGAACTTAAAGAAGTGCTATTCGCCCTCGAATGAACTGTCTGTGGAATTTCGGAAATTGCGTTTCTCCTTCCGTTTAAAAACATCTGTCATAAAAAACCCGGAATTTATTACTGTGATAAAATACGTAGCGAGAGATTCGGCCCAGCACAAAACCAATACCTAGCCAGCTTATGAGAGTTCTAGTTTCCAAACCATAAACCGTTATCCACAAATTTTTCAACCAGTAGCAACTATCAAGTTTGCGTATCTTCATGAAGTATATGTAGTTATGCAAGATCCCTTGTGTCTTAGTACATTGTAGACTAGGTGCTTATCCTCAGTGCGAAATCTCAGATGCGCTTCACTCAGTTCTAATTTGGGCTAATTTGGGCTTATCCAGCCTTTCTTTCATATCCTCCTCTGCAGGTGTACAAGCATCGATGGCCTCCAAATTTCCACTTTGGAGTCCATTAATTTTTGACGACCGCCAGCCATCCTCCATCAGTAAGCCTTCTCTGTCATACTGATGGACTGGGGTGTGTATTCTTGCAAACCGACCCCCGAGTTTTTCTCTTTATTATTACGGCTTAGTGACACAACGCAAACAAGTATTGTTGGCCATCTCATGGATAATTCACCAATCTGAATAAAGCTATACGATTATGTCCGGAACCTACACCCACAAAACCTTGACTGCTCTATTTCCGTGATTTTTTAATTGCTGATCCAGAGGCGCTCGTCTTAATAGAACCTTCATGAACTCCAGGATTAGAGATTGAACTGCATCAACAATTACTAGCTGCGGGTGACGTCTTATTTCCATAGTACAGATCAAGTGTATGACGTGCTCAAAATGACATGCAAAATGACTGACGTAGTTCCGTAGTTGGTCCGGTTGCAGAGTTTGGCCGTTAGACTGCCGTTGGGCTGTTTCGTCACCAATCAAGATGACATCTTCGTCTCAAAGTTAATTGGGGAAATTCTTCCTGCCCTGCTTGTGCTTATATAGCTTTCAAACAGTGCTTTCTAGCCCTAAAATGATTAATTGATCCCGAGTTGACTTTCACGTAATTTGGTTGGACTGGTATAGTTTTCCAAAAGTATAAGTATATTTTGAACTTTTCCCGCGAATAGGTCAAAGGAACATGTTACTACCGTTGACTAGTAGACAAGGACGATACTTCTGTCCCGCAAAAAGTTCAACAGTCGGCGTGCCTTCACCCAAGTTGAAAAAAAACTTGGTTAGGAAGCCGAAATATATTTTCTCAGCCATTTTCTCCGTCCAATTCTGACGTTCTTCAAGGTAACCGTTGCTGTTCGTAACATCTCAGTGGCTTGAATCTTCAAACAAAGTTCCATCCTGGAGGCTGATCTGTTTGCTTACCTGTGGCACCTTATTGCCAAGGTTACGTTACCAGCTGAGATGGCTTCCTCCTTCAGTCTACATTTCCTCTTGTAAACGGTATTCGCACTTGAAAAATCTTGACGAACCATTTTCTAATTCATAGCCAAGTTAAATTTCCACATGGACTTGAAAACTGAATGTCATTCTATTTTCCCTGTATGCCTTTCTTCCCAACCACGCCCTAAACATGACAAAGGGTAATGCCGCACGCATCAGCAAAATGAACACTGTCCGGACTTGGTAGACTTATCTTCATTAAAAACGGCAACAGCCGATTTCTAGACTGTCATGTAAATCATATCTAGGTATGAAAAGTTACGGAACAAACAACAAAATAAGAAGAAGTCACCTAGTCGTATTTAAATATCTGATGATATAAGCCCATACATGCTGCTTTCATGTTCCTGGTGATGTTTGGTCTGGGACTCCATTGGCACTGTCCTGGACAGGAGGGCTTTGTTTACTAAGATGGTATTTGTAACCTAATATGCCTTGGTTGAGTTACAATGCAATAACGACATGATTACTCAGAGGGTCAAAAGCTGGACTGCTTATGAATTTGAGGAGTAGAATATCAGGGGTTCTGATGTGTCCACTCCTCGGGGAGTAGACAACCATGGGTGAGGTTAACATTGGCAGGCCAGAACGCTAATGCGCACAACACTGACATAGTGGATTTTGGAGTTTGTGGTAAGCACATGCTTACAGATGCCATCAACCACAGACTGACAATCGCCTATCGTATGTCAGCCTGTTTCTTGCTACCCGTTCGACAACAGAAAGGTAGTCATAGGTTATTTATCATTAAAGCTCCGGACTGTTAAAAATTGTTCCCCTTCGTGTTTCTAAAGTAGTGCTTTCTTACATGAGAAACGTTCTGTATGATTAGCGCGAAAAATCTTTTGAATTGTCACTTAGATGAAAATTTATTACGTACATGTACTGCTGATTGAGTACAAAACTGCCCCACTCATTCTAGCTTTGAACTGTTGTAAGTATAAATATATTCTGAGGGTGGACTTGTTCCGCACCCCCACAATAGTCGGATGTGAGGTTTGCAAGCCCTCTTCCTGCATAGCCGTCATTAAAGACGATTGTGGCCTCCTCCTTGTCCGCTTTGGGTGTATGGATTGAATAACACTCTTTTATCGAGTTTCCTGGAATTCAAATATTCACCAATGTGTTGCTCGAAGTCAGTTCTTTTTTGATAAGGTTAAACTGCAGATTCAGAGCCGTTACAAATCATTCATCTAGATGGATTTAGGAAGAACTTATTCCCTTGTCATAATGCTAGCTGCAGGGTTGCTTAAAACCATTTGGCAGTTCGCCATCGGTTTCACGGTTCTTATGGTTCATCGGATAGACTCAGTTTCCAAGTATCCGTCAACCTTATTCCCTTCTTGAAAACTAATTTTTACCTAAGTGGAGCTAACGGCAGGTTAATTCTTGAATGAACACGACATCCGTTAATTTTCATCATCAGCGTGTTTATCTCGCGTTCCGTCCACGTTCCTCAGTTGAGTTTGCTGTCCCACATGCTTGAATTGGAAGCGCGTCCAATAAGATGTGAAAGCGTAGCAGTCAAGTATAGAGGAGCCCCACTGAATTTATAACGTCGATAGAAGTCTGTATGGAATCATGTTTATTGTTCTCAAACTCTGATCTCATAAGTCAACAGAAAATTGCCACACCTTTAGCCAAATCTCAGAGCACGCAGTTGATTTGACCTTGCGATCAACTGTCGCAGATAGCTTTCTTCCGACCGGTCCAGTGCCGGAGTAGATTTGAGCCCATCATCCGTCGCGTAACGCCTAATGAAAAACCGCGGGAATCGGCTTTCAGGAAGTTCCGACTCAAAAGGACTTTGGTCGCGCGTATCTGTAAGGGAGATTTTTAGACAGAAACTCACACATTGTGCAATGGTTCAAGAAGGTATTCAATTATGATCCGGAGCGTAGCATGGATGGCACTGACGATCAGCAAACAGTCAGTAGTCTAGAAAAATCCTTTTATTTCAAGTAGGACAGAAAACCCTTCTGTAGCTCTGGGAGGTCAGAAGATGGATGTGAGCAGAACAACAGAAGATTCCATTTATTTTTCACTGCTTCAAGTCGGACAATGGTCATCGACTCTTCTGAGTACTTTCAATTTTTACACCTGAGGCCGATTGGGATAAATGTTAAAGACTTCAACAACAACCAGGGCCACGTAGCTACAATCATCGGTATTAGAATGGCTGACAAGCTATTGTCCATAGTCCTAGGCTGGTGCACAGATCTCGGCTCTCACTCAACTCTCAAACAAAATGTGTGTATTAAATGAACAGAGTAACGCCAAAGTCTAATACTAGTCGTTGAATATGGGACGGGGGACTTGCGGAAGGGTGACTATAGTGGACAGGTGATAGATAGGTCAAATGAGTTTTCGGGGCAGTTTTTCCAGAGGTTATAAGACAAGTTGTCAAATCTAAATTTGAATGAATTTCTTCCATCCCAGTGTACTTTAAGAAAGGTAGGTGAACCGCTGTACACAATGCATAAGAATAACTTAACTGAAGGAGTGCGTTTTCCAGCGTTTGAATGGCCAAACTGGAGGCACCTCTCCGTATGCTAGGGAATGAAGCTGCCAAGTTTGTTTAGAGCCCTACATTTTGAAATAATGTACTGGTACAAAACACCTTCTACACCAGATTATAAAACATATCTGCTGTGAAAACTAGTTAGGTGTTTTATAGTTCACAGCGTATGAAGTGGTGGTTTTAAGGCAGTTTTTATGAAAAGTGAGACACTTTAGTAGGGCATGATTCAGTGATCAGGAGTGTTCACTATCTGTGTCAGAAATGAATTCTGTAAACTGGCTAGTGCAATAAAATAAATGCGGAGAAACATATTGTCCCATAAATAGGGTTGCAATATGCTTAACGTAGAGATATATAGTCGGTTTTCCTCTATCGCTCGTTTTTCACCGTAGAATAACACAACTTCCCTTCTTCTCAAAGAAAGATTCTGAAATTTCGTCCCATGAATACTCGTAAAATAATATAAAGCACTTCTCTGTTGGCGGTGATCTGGTTATTTTCATGCCCAGTCGGTTACAGTTCAAGTCCCCAAAGAATACTTTGCATTTTCTTCCACTCACTTTGCAGTTTTGAATGAGAGTGGTAAGTTTGGTTCCTGACTTTAGTGATTCTAATGTTGGGCCTGAGGTGGCTAGAACAACTTTACTGTCCTTGAAGATCTTCGCTTTATCAGCATACGACCTTTTACTAGAATGATTGACCGAACTGCTAATAACAGCAGCTGCAACCTGGTTTGATCTTGCAGCACCATCATGGTTATACCCTGTGAACCTATTGTTCTTAACTGGTGCCCTCGCTCAGAAACTCAAAAATGCCTTCCTGACGAGTGAGGTTTACTTTACAAGACAAAGAAGTATAAAGAAGTCTACCAATCATATCTCCGTGTGATAGCCTAATGCAGGTGTTTGCAATATGCTTCGTTTGATTACGTAGTGGACAGTGAAGCACGGCATCGTCCCGCGGGTCTGCATAAAGCATACTCTAGCGCTTGTGTCTCTGTTCTGTCCAGCTGAACATTACGACCTCCACAAGATGCCACTATCAGCTTAGGAAATGTAATGCTTCTCTACAAGCATTTTCAATGGCATATTACGTCATAAGGTTTGCCTACCTCATACTATAGCAAGTAGTCACTGTTGTCTTCACACAATCTTCGAATGAGAGTAGACGTTTCAAGACCGATATTTCATGCAAGATCGATTTCTAAATTGAAGTTTATCACTGTTTTGGCAAGATATCTACCAATCCAAAATTTATGTGAGGTGTACGGCAGGTGCACGCTGCTCGAAATGGAAGAACTAAGAAGAAAAAAAGGATAAAACTAGTGACAAGTGATCGACCGCGTGCAGGTTGCTTACGGCATAGCAACGGTCACCAATCATTAAGTGACCCTACAGGATATCAAAAACGTGCTTGAACGAAACCCTCTGCTTTGGATTAGTTTTGAAATTTCCTAAACAGCTGTGAAGTCTAACTCTGTTATGATCACATGTTTTTCGTACAGTCGATTTATTATGCCATATTCATGTTAATAAAACACCGAAGTCGGTTTGCACCTCTTAAGGGTATTGAAAATGATCTTAGGACAGCATCACGCAACCGTGTTTACGATGTTTTTAAAATCAGCAATGTCCTCGGGCATAAGTGAGGCAATCCTACTCATTTGGTCCCCACCCCGGACAATGGCGACCTCTAAAAGGACCACATCTGTAGATCATTTGAGGTAGTTTCTTTTAGACGGAGAGCTATTTTGTTTGATGAACAGGAAACGGATTCTCTAAAAGCTACCCCTAATTGTTTTAATCAATAAGTGGCAAATCCCTTCACAGTTTAATTGAAGGTAAATCATACTAACTCCTCAGAACTGTCCCGCAGCCTCATGGAATATGCATTTAGGTCAGTAACCTGGCCCGCAGGCTTGAAGTAGTTCTTCCCACATTAGGGGCGATCTCCTCAAAGAAACGTAACAAAAAACAAGGTTTTAGATGGTTTCGGGGGGATCAGTATATTATCCAAGTATGCTGTTATTCAAGCACACATCAACGCATGAGGGAAAGATTTATAAAGCCCAAAACATCTTCCAAATTTTTATTATGACTGTGGTCCTGTGATTTTGCCCCATTCCGTTTTTTTCCTTTCCCATTTTTACCTCAGTTGACAGAAATACACTTTCTCTGAACTCGGCTCCCAAAGGTTTTTGTCATCCGACGGCGAAAAACTGTTCTATTTCACTCATCGGTATTGGAGTACTGGTGAGACACACGGCTGGTCCAATGATTTGGCCGCGGCATAATCAGGAACTGAGAACAGATGGTGTAGACAAGTAGGAATGGTGCTTTCTGTGTCTGCGAATAATATATGCAGACTTCCTATCCGAACTGTTAGCCGACGTGCGGCTTCTCAATGACTGCCGCCGAAGTAGTCATCTTACCGTTCTGCGGAAACCAGGCGCTTGTAACTCTCAGGGACCCAGTATGTCAAGCACGGCTAATAATAATGAAACCCGCTACCTGCTGACATAGTTAAAAAATCTTTCCATTGTTGGCTTACCATAGAATAACACGCTATTTTATACGGGCTGTTGGATGTCATCGGAAGGCGACCTTTGTCATCTCTCTTTATCTGCCGCACATTACTCAATAACAGGTGAATGCTAGGGTGCTTCTAACTTCCCCAGTTTACTAAATCTCATAAATTCCTGTGGGTGCAAGTTGTATTGTTGATCGATTACTAGCAAGAGCAAAAATGTGCAACCGAGTTAATATGCCCTGACCATCAGGGTCACGTATGTAGTAGTGGTGCCAAGGACACTTCAACTCTGAGCTTAAGAGCTATTTCGGAATTCCTTCAGTACGTCCAATTGCTTTTTTGTGTCTGGGATTGCTCAGCTCTGGAGATCTCCGAGCGATATTATTTTAGTTCAGAAACTTATCCGGAGATATTTCCCACCTTGAACCCCAGTGCTACTGGATTATAGAAACTAGGCTTTCAGAGCATTTATCCAGGCTTCCAGTGAGCCCCCGTATATAGTGATCTGTTGAGCTAATCTCAAGTTTGTACTTCAGGCTAGGATTTCACATAAACTGTTGTTGTGCAGAATAAATTTGTTGACTCAATCACTTAACTTACTGTTTTAGTCGGAGCTTCAAGCACAATTACTGACCGAAAGATTCATGCTTCTTACCAAACCCTGGCATTCATCTACTCCTGTCTAGATTTGGTCAAATAAGCAGTATCTCAACTTTGCAGCAGCATTTATCAAAGTCACACCGCGAGATTCAGTTCACAGTGGACTAAAAGCAACTCTACCACGGAGATGCTGAAAGAAGAAGATGGGTTGCGAATTGCCCTACAAAGTAAACTCATCCCTACCCTCAAGCTTATAATAATTACCACCAGAATGACTAGAAAAAGTCTGTCATATCAGATCCCTGTGGTCAGGCTAAACAGCATGGTTGCGTAGCGTATTTCCACGGTAAATATACCATATCACACAACTAATAAAAAATTTGCAAAATTAGGTGACACAAGATAAAAATGGGCCTACAATGAACTTCACAATGTGAGAACTTTCAGGTACATTTCAAGGCTAATCACAAAAGGCTTTTGCATTCTTGAGGCGAACTGGTTTAGAAAAGATAAAACAGTTTCAAGAAACTGAGTTAAGCGTGGAAAGCTCAACAGAGTATAAATAAACCCTCAGATTCAAATCAGCTTGGTAGGAACGTGAAATCCAACTTAAGATATTAAGTTGGACCTCACGTTCCTACCAAGCTGATTTGAATCTGAGGGTTTATTTATACTCTGTTGAGCTTTCCACGCTTAACTCAGTTTCTTGAAACTGTTTTATCTTTTCTAAACCAGTTCGCCTCAAGAATGCAAAAGCCTTTTGTGATTAGCCTTGAAATGTACCTGAAAGTTCTCACATTGTGAAGTTCATTGTAGGCCCATTTTTATCTTGTGTCACCTAATTTTGCAAATTTTTTATTAGTTGTGTGATATGGTATATTTACCGTGGAAATACGCTACGCAACCATGCTGTTTAGCCTGACCACAGGGATCTGATATGACAGACTTTTTCTAGTCATTCTGGTGGTAATTATTATAAGCTTGAGGGTAGGGATGAGTTTACTTTGTAGGGCAATTCGCAACCCATCTTCTTCTTTCAGCATCTCCGTGGTAGAGTTGCTTTTAGTCCACTGTGAACTGAATCTCGCGGTGTGACTTTGATAAATGCTGCTGCAAAGTTGAGATACTGCTTATTTGACCAAATCTAGACAGGAGTAGATGAATGCCAGGGTTTGGTAAGAAGCATGAATCTTTCGGTCAGTAATTGTGCTTGAAGCTCCGACTAAAACAGTAAGTTAAGTGATTGAGTTTCCTGGTAGTACTATTCTTTCTATCGAAGATGTTAATTCAGCATCGTAAATGTTGCCGTAACTGAAACATGAGGTGACCATGGTGCACATAGTTACTTAGGTACATCATAAGAGTGAGGGAATACGGGAATCAAGCGTGCCTGATGTGTCTCATCAAGAGCGTGATTGACAATGGACTGTGAGTAGTTAGTATGGGCGTATAAGTGAGACTGAAAACAAATTCGGTATCTTGAATATCATTAAGTTAAAAAAATAAGACTGGATTTGTACAACAGATTTAGTTGAAGAATGCCAGATACCAGTGAATGCTGGGATTTATTTGGAACTCTCATCAACCCATAGCTGAAAACGCAGACGAATGTATTACGCTGATTGCGTACAATTTGGGTGATAGTCCAGCTTTGGGGACTAAGTCCAGCTAGTAAGCCCCCAAAACGGTCATACAGGTGGTGGTAAGATTTTGTCAAACTTCTAATTGGCATCTTGTCAGGTAAGTGAGTAAATCTGTAAGCACAAACTTTCCCAGTGGTGACAAAATCTCGAAGACTTCTTCACAATTTACTCAGACGCGCAAAACTAAGAAATCACTTATGAAAGATCCTTGCTGTGAAACAATACTGTAGTTGATTCATATTTTCAGAAGTCTACACTGAATTTATGCTATTCATAATCTTGATCGACTGCAGATTTTATGTGAGCTTTATAAGCGTCATCTATGGTGTTTCGCAAAATCTGATCAATTTACACGTTAATCCTAGCCTGGTTGTGTTCGAGTAGCCGATAGTCCCCTCACCAGTCGAAAGAGGCCTATCATTGTGTAAATTCAAAAGCTCAGCTCACAGAAGACGGATTTGTTGAGACCATATGGAAGAAACTGTAATGCCCACCTGACCACTTGCAAATATTCCCAACTCAAGGATTCCTGTCAAAGGCCGTAATTCTGACAGTTTCACAGTCCTCTGTTTCGAAGTCAAATACGTTAACACTGCTTGTACATCAAAGTAGGGGCAAAAATGGTCTTCTGTTTACTCGTAAAACGATCCGAATTTCGATAAGAAAAAAATCATGCTCGGAAATGCAACACATGTTTATCAGTGACTGAACTGATTGTGAACAAACCGACCCGATGTGCGTTTTCAGTCAATTGACACCACAATTAATCGTAGTCCTGGTGGATGGGAAAGTTGGCTGTATGCATACAATGTTTTTGGATAACTTCAAACCAAACCAAGAGCTTCGTGTAGATGTGTACATGACACATGTGTTTAGATTTGGATCTGAGTTGAAACCGGTATTTAATTCGTCATATTTCCACTTGCCATTGGTGTGTAATCAACTGAAAATATTTCCGATCCTACGATTGACTAAATCAAAGCCACAGGGTTATCAATTGCTTTTATCTGGGAGAGCTGACTCTGATAGCCTCGTCAACGAAGCCCACTTTAGAAAAGTGCTTTGAATATAACGAAATACTCACCAAGGAAATTGGGGTCAGCATTCTCCAATGCTGGTCGTCGGAGTGGGATTCCTAGAGATGAGGTGATCTGAAGATGTAATAAAACGCATAGGCAACCAATAAGCCGGAACCGAGACTTCTCAATCGAGTTTCTGTTCTTCATGGTTTGATTCCGGGGAATCCAGGGAAAACCGTATGCGATCAACTCTACATATGAACGAACCACATTTTTATACTTATTGTAAGATGAATGTGAGCACTCATTGGTTACTTACATGAGTGTTTTGAATGTTTAGCTTGTGAGCTTGAGTCTCAGCTTTGTCCCACTCGTCAATCCACCTACGTTGCTCGAATGACGAATAAGGAGAAAAGGTTTGTGGTCTTGCATGTAGCATGTGAATATCTTACTACTCAATGTGTGTCCTGACGAATCCGAAAAGTTGGTAATAAGCTGGAATCCAAATTTTGGTATACCGATTTCGGGTATGTAGGAGATCACACGGTTCAAAGTTATTTTGATTGCCAACTAACGTGAATGAACAATTCAGTGAGACTAAGAAATGTCTGTTTCGATTGCGAATCCTCTCCGGAAAAGCAGATGCAGTAAAGAATGGAGAATCTTTGTGGTTCTGAAGCGTCTGTGACGCTACTTCACTGAGAAGTCCTGATGAGGAAATTTATTGAGGCAACATTTGAGGCTGTCGGTCGGCCAATCAGTTTTTTGAAGTTTGAAAGCTGGTACAATCAATGATTTGTGTTGATATTACCGAAACTCAGGTGGTTTTCTGTTCAAGTGTAGATTAATCGGAATTGCCGTGTCAGGTCAGGACTATTGATTCAAGGAAATATGAATGCCAATTCTGAAAATCCCACCCACGACTAAAAATATGCAATATATTCTTATGTTCAGAGGACCAAAAATGCGTTTGGGTGAATGTGGAGCAGATTTGGCATGATTCTGCAACGCATTGGTTATGGTTTTGGTGCCTGAAATCAATTGATTCATCCAAAAAGGTTATAAACTGCCAGATACCGCTGCAGTCACTTGGCACTGTACAGTGCGAAGGCCCAGAAGGCTAAGCAGGATCGACTTCGCCGTCACCAGTTAACTCCCTCCAGACTAACACCGCAACTGTGCCCCGGCTCCCAACAAACGCTTGATTGCCTCTACTTTTTCCCCACGAATAGGCAATACCAGTGTTCAGCGTACTACTGGTTTACCTCCTTTCTATTTGGTCTATCCTTAATCCGCAACTCTGCCAGTTTACCTGTCTGCAAAAAGCGGTGTTCGGCCACGAGTATTCATTGTTATGTCAAACAAGTTAGGCTGGCTGGGTGAGTGATAACACTTGGTTTGTGCGAAAAATATGAACTCGATTTTAACCAGAAAGAATGGGATCGGTGACTTAACTTGCAGAGAGCTGTCGGGACCAATTGGCTGGCTTGACATATAGCAGTGAGTCCTAGTACACGTTGCAAAATTTAGAACAGCTGTCAAGTGGGACGAAGATTAATTGCTACGCTCCATGTTGATGGGCCACAAGAGTAGCTTGTTATCAAGCGAGTTGAAATATTGATTTCTTGGTTCCTCTCCTCACGATACTTTGAGTTTCGGACCCCCGGTAGAATCGAGACCATTAGAAATCCTTCCTAGCAATGTAAATGTTGTTATCTACCTAAGTGGATGACTACCTACCTTGCACAAAGTGTGATTAGGAGGCCTGTGAAACTCACGAAGAAGCCTGGAGTGGGAACTTTCGGTAACAAATATCAGATATCAAACACATACGTCAGTTCTGGGTGGTAAACACATTCGCATACGCATCCTCAGATGCAAACCAAGATGGCTCATTCTTACCCATATGTGTGTGATTACCTTGCATTTAGACAACATCTGGCGCCACTAAATGTGCGCAAACTGAACCCATTCGCCAGTCAGAATGATCAAAGGAAGCAGATGGCAAATACTCCTTCACTTTGTAACCGATAGCCCGTTTCGAAAGACCGGTTTCTTTGATGCGATTATGTTTGATGTCCCCAGTCCGGTTCCTCGGTAGTTTCCGCTTCTTACTAGAACCTGTTCGATTATTCCCCTGGAAATTAAGAGGTACCCGATGTGCTGGGGTTTCGTTTTGCAAGATTCCTCACCACCAAATATTCAACCTGGCTTTGACATACCATGACAACATTAGTCAACTATTTAGGTCGAAGTATATGGTTTTCAAAGAATTTTGAGGCGCACCAGACTTACCATATTCCTCATGTCTCCGTCCCGAGCCAGATTAGCCACAAACAAACAACAAAATAATGGGTTTCCCAACTTACCTGAAATCTGAATGAAAGCGAAAATCCTACGTTCAAACTTCCAGAAATCGTCGTTGCTCGTCTACCTGTTTTCACACATGAGATAGGTCTTATCATCAAACTGCCAATAAATCGTTTCCTCAAAAAAGGTGTTCGTAGCCTTTTCCATGATCATTTCTTTTGTGGAGGCAGTTTGATTTAAACTCGACACTGTCCACACATAGAAAGGGGAACACCACAACCTCTGAATATTCCTTCATTGCTTCAGTGAGCGATGAACATTACATTATAAGGCCCGTTTGTATGTTATCTACTGACCAGAATGAATAAAATCGTATCGAAACCGGATACTCCATTTTATCAAATCCGGAATAGCAGTCGTTTAAGTACAACATTAATAGTCCTGGTATATAAGGCATTCCAAAAAACGAACTCAACACGAAACATACTACTCACATGGGCGCTGAAAACACCTTGGCAGCGCACAACTGATTTCGCACTTCTTGGGATTCATCAAGTGGGTGAAGTTCCCAAGTGTCCGTAAACCTTATCTTTTACTTGAACCCATATTGCAGGAAATTCGTCCACTACACCGCGGGCCATCCAGCTACATCTTTCGTTTACGATATTTTTCTTCATCAACAAACTTATGAATAACGTAATACTTCTACAAAATGTACTATAACATCTAGAGCCTCGTTCCAACTTGAATATGAGGCGGCCTGGTGCAGTACTTTCAGTCGAAGGAGAACGTTATAAACACGAGATTCATCTGGATGCAGATGAAGCCCCTTTTCTAGACCAAACTCGCGTAAAAATGAGAGCATTTGTCTGAATCTATCCGATTTCTTGTTCAAGTACGGCATAAGGTTGATGGACACCCGGGGACTGTGCCCAACTGACGGGCCCAAAGAAGGGAGAAACTGGTGGTAGGCGGTCAAAGAGCTTTCAGCAACCAGATGAGTGGTGTTGTAGTCTAAGCAAATGGGGTTATTTGCCCGTTGTGGTCTATCAGTTCGAGGTAATAACGTCTGAAAATCTTATCACGGCCATCAGTACAGGTTGTGTGGGTGTGCTTCGAACGCATTCAAGCAAGTGCCACCTGACCATTATGCAGACATGCTCAATAAATAGCAAGTCATGAAAGCGGAAAGAAATTAGAAACAGCGGTTTTTAAACTCATAACATAGTGTAGTGGAATAAGATGTCTTAATCCGACATTGCCGTGGTCACTTTTTTCAAGCGGCTAATTTGCTAGAACGGCTCAACGGAACTGAGCACTTATTGGACAGAAAAGACGCGTATGTAGTCCCACAGTGCCGCAACGCTCAGTGCATGTTTGAGTTTGTGTGGCACTTCAAAGTAGAAAAGAACTGCAAAGTTTACTGTCAGTTCATCGAACACAATCTGAACGTAAATGATTCTTGCGTGCTTTCAACAGAACTCATGATCAGGGAGGGTGCATTTCTGGAAAATACGTAGTCCCCGTTACAACACCGCAAAAATTGTCCAATCAAAGCGAAGACTCGTGAATCGTTGAACAGCTTAGTTATGGAGCATTCTGATTCAGCATGATCGACTACTCACTTTCATCAATAGGATAGAGAACAACACGAGGCCAGACTAAAGCTCATCAACAAGTGGCATCAGTCTTTGCCAAACCATAAAGCAGAATAAGCTAGTTTGAAAATGCAACACTACACCACCACAGTTGATGTTACGCAATCAAATTCAGGCCCAGGTCATTCGTCTTATCACCGTTTTTTGTTATGCCTATTTGTTCAGAGGCCTACTTACTCGCAGCTTTGTGCGATGGAGTGAATAATCGCATGCCTTCCTTTCACGAAACCTAAGTAGGATACTCTGTCAAAATAGGCAAGAATGTCATGTTTGTATTGAAGGCATTCGTCATCTACCCTGAAGACGTATTTGTGATGGATATTTTAGCTCTATAGCTCAAGGTCATATCTGTACATTCCAGAGACAGAAGAAAACAAAAGCATAATCTGAAATTATGAGAAGTTCGTCTAGAGGCTTTGCGTTTAAATGTTCACAAAAATCAAACCAAGAAACTAAGTTGAATGAAGCCTAAAAAGCGAAGATTCGACATCATGGGAAAGAAAGTCGCGGTTGAACGGGCCAAGTTCTCGCCCACACGAACAGTTGGGTATCGACATCGAAATTTTTCTGAAACAGTATAACAGGTGTACACGGTCCTTCCACATTGTGTAGGCTTACCAGTTTGCACAAAAACAGAAGAGTTACATACAGGATATTTTTCGCTTCAGATCTCAGACTGTATCATTTGTTGTTGCAGTTTAATGTGCGTAAGTCCAGTTATACCATAAAATATTGTGTACAGTTTTTCGTTGAAAGCTACTCAGCCGTAAAATGGAGAACTGGTGTGAGATGGTCCGTATTATGGCAGACCCGAGGCCTCATCTGATGTATTCCCAAGTGCATATTATGTAACAAATGATGTAAGGTGATTGCAAAACTTAGTAGTCCTTATCTCACTTTCACGCCTCACTTATTTAAAGCATCATTACTCTTTCAAACCTAAAACTAATGAACTGAGAAACGCGAGAATACTGGTTTGAGGTTCGTACAACAATATTTAAGTAGCTCAGGGGGCAGAATGATACAAACGACGAATGAACTTTTCATCTAAGAAGTCTTATGTCAAGGCCTCCAGGTGACACTTGACCATGTGATGTGGATTCTGCGTTTGATTAGGTAGGTGCGAGCTATTAACAATGCTGATCAGTCGCTTGTGACCGAAAGGTTAGATGTCCGAACTACTAGCCTGGTGGGTCCTTGAGTGCGGCGAGATGCGAATAGCTGACGGTTCTCAATCAGAATGACACAGTTGTACAAGCTT